ATTTAGAGTTAAGTAACATTAAATAAATTAATTGTCAAATATCAGGCGTTAAATTGTATAAAACTACACAAATATATCTGACGCGGTAACGCTATTTGATACCTAATTAATATTTCAGAAAGCTGCCAAATTTTTGTCAGCAGATTAGCTAATCTACAGATTTCATATTTAGAAATTTTTTGAATTATCAATAGAGGGTAGTTTTAACAGATATAATTTTTTATTAAATCTATTTTTTAATCATTCTAAAACTCAAGGCTATGAAATCTCGTTTTTAATTTAAAAAAACCGCATTCAAATTACTGATGTTTCAAACTTCTTACAATATAACATCCTAGCTTCCAAAAGTTAAGCACGGGAATCTAAAATCAATAAAAGTGGAAAAGTAAATTTTTGATTAACACCAAATTGCACATAAAGGTAGAAAATGTGTTGACATATGAAAAAAAAAATTATATGCAAAGACGATAACAATGTTTAATTTTCATAAATTACATGACGACGGTACATTTGGGTGATTAACCAATTGATGCTTAAAGCTAAAAATAAGTAAACAAAATTTATATGCGTAAGATATGATATCATCCCGAATCTTCACACAAACTTTAGACCAATTGCCCATGCTTTCGATGAGGGTATCAACGATCGCAGTTACTAGCAATGGCCATTCCTGCATTAGGACAATTTCCAACTGTCTGAGACCGGCCGGAGAAGGCAAACGTGAAGAGACAGTACGCCTGAGGACATCCAAAGATGTGGGATTAAGGTGAGGAGAATATGGTAGTAACTCCATAGAATAAATGCCCTCACTCTCCAGGTATTCGTTAACGATGTTGGCTGGATGGAGACGAGCAGTTTTATTCATAAGGAAGAAATTAGAACCAACTGCTTTAGATTAGAGTCTCACGCTAGGGTATAAGACTTTGTCCCAATATTGCGCAGCTGTTATAAAACCGTCTTCAAAAAATGTAAAGCTGGGTACAATCTCCCATTAAAATTCCAGCCCAACACCATGGTGCTGCCCCTTCTGAACGCGTGGTTGGATGATGTTCTGATCCTGTTTCCGTATCTCTCATTCGTTCCAAACCTTTACGTTCCTGTCATATGACTCCAGGACAAATCGAGATTTGTCCGTGAACAGGATGTTGCACCAATTTTGAGACAGTCCAGCTGAAATGTGGACGACACTAATTTAATCTTGCCTCCTTGGATTGGGCGGTTAGTGGAACTCAAACACTTAATACCTCAGCGGACAGTCCCTTCATGTCAAGCCTTTGGTGCACAGAACTGGCAGATATTGTCGTGCCAAGTGACACTATAAACGTTGATGTAACAGTTCGGGGAGTTCCTCGTCGATTCTGCTTGGCTACTATAGATAGCAATATATTGATCATCAAAAAGATGGTAAACCTTGGTCGACTAAGCACAGATCTCTGGATTTATTACAGAATATTCAATGCCAAACAAAACAGCGATATCTGCGATTGGCTCTCCTGCTTCAGCGCGTCCGACAGCACGTCACCTCTCACTATGTGGAATTCTTCCAGCCATAGAAACATGAATGTAACTAAAAATTATCCTAAAAAGGTTATAAGCCTTTTTATCAGCATTTCAAGGAACCTCCTCAAACCTTTCAGCATGCTGGCTTTTTTTTCCACCCATAAAGTTACTACAGATACCAGGAAGGAAATTTTAAGGAAAAAGTTAAATTATCAACGTATAGTATACGACCTCTCAAGGGGATCTGGCGATTTTCTGGAAACTGAATCAAGTCTGGTGGTAATCTGCGATCCATTTTCAACAGAAATTGATAATACATCAAATGAGCTGCACTGTGACATTATACATCTGCAGTGTGATCAGGGCCGGCGCCAGAGACGGTGCAGCTGGTGTGTCTCATGCTCCCTTATCAGCCACCACTTGTGGCGATGCAGAAAAATTCAGAATTTAAACTAAGCCTAATAGTCTAAGACTAGACAATGAATTTTAATTCTAAATTGGATCAGAACTTCTCACAGACGTACAATTTAAATGACGACAGCTATAACGCAAAGCCGAATATTATCTTGTCGGAGCTGGCGAAACCTTAGTATCGGGGCCTAGAGAAGAAAAAACACGCTATGTCTTACAATCCAAAAACCTCAGCTTAAATATTCTGTAACTGATTTGTATCCTGGTGAGGAAACGGAAGTGACAAGTTATAGTAAAGTCTAAATCCTTACCGATGATCATTTACAAACAGTTTTAAGAATTTTTACTACAAAATTAATATCTGGAATCATAAAGAAAAATGGTTAAAGATGTAAACAGCATAATGTGTCTCATTAAATTATTGCTTGTCAGAAATTTATTTATTTTTATGTCATATTTCACTTTTCCTGATAATAACAATTTATATCTAAGACCCACCTTTCTTTTCCCCCTATCCCTGATGTGCCTTTTCAGCTGAAAAATTTGCTCATGCTTAATCTAGGCGAAAGTTTTATGAGACACTTGATGAAACAATGAACTTTGAGTAATTTTAATTGGAAAAGCATTATACGAAGACAAGTTTTTTATGATAAAATAAAAAGATTTTAAATTTCTCTTTCCTTTGATAATTTGGCATATAATAAATTTGCTTCCTTTGATAATTGAAACAGAATAAATAGTATCAGCAAATAATTGCAAGACAAAGCGTACCTGTCAAACTTTTTTTCATAATCCAATGAAAGATTTAAAATATTTAATTAGAACACAAAATGGCTTCGAAGTGAATGCATACTCCATAACACAGTTTAAAAGAACTGTATTTCTTAAAATATATTCTAAATTTTTATAACTGTCATACGGTTTTTGTCTTTCTCATAAAACTAAACTTTTTGATAGCAGGGTTATTAAAAGCACAATTTTAATAGTCATACGAGTAGATTCATGGTTTGAATGGTTACTCACCACCTTAAAGAAAGATCTTGACGCTTCAAGATAATTAATTCCCTACCATATTGTTGATAAATGAGTTATTTCAAACTGTATTATTTATAGGTTATTTTAGGCAAGACACACATAATATCAAAACCCCATTTGAAAGGGTAAAACTTCAGAATGATATGTGGGAATTTAGAATTCTTCAAAATGATATTAATGGAGGTGGTAACTATCTATGCCTTAATAAATATAAGTGGCTGGATTACTGATAAGCTGCAGAAGGTTGTTTACTTTTTAAAACAATACAACACAGCGCATAGAGCCTAACAGCTTAAGAGAAGGGACTCTCCGTAGAGGACTTTAAAGAATTTATCTCGTATTTATGTTACACATAACGAAAACCGCATAGACATTTGTGCAACGAAACCAGTCGCTGGGATTTGAATCCAGGTCAAAACATCAGAGCCCAGGAAGCTTCTCAGCTATGTGGTGAACTAGCAGCAGAAAAAAATAAATGTGCCTGTATTCTGAAACTAATTCCAGTCTCAGTCTCATATATTTCACTTATAATGCCATAAACTTTCTGTTAAAACTACATGTTTTCTTTTCTAATCTCCGTACTAATGCTCTGAAATGTCGTAGTACAGATAGTAATAGGGGGACCGGAAAGTAATGTCGCTTTCTTGCATTAAATTCAAACGAATACATTTTTAACAAGTTTTTATTTTTAATCAATAATATAATCACCCTCGTTATCAACAAACTTTTGCCATCTAACGTGCAGATTTTTAATCCCGGACCGATAAAAATCAATTGGTTTTTGAGTAAAATATCTCGAGAGGTCACTTTGGACATCATCCAAATTTTCAAATTCTTTTGCAACTACAAAATTTTTTTGCCATTAAGAAAATGTTGTAGGGATCGAGAATAAATGGAAATCCAATGCTGCGATATCGGCCGAGTATGGGGTAGGTGAGTATGGCAGTACCTCCCACCCCAATTCATTAATTTTTTCCAATGTTCGTCTTGCACAGTGCAGTCTTGCATTCGTCGTGTTGCAGAATGACGCCTATTTCTGTTGACAATTCACCGGATATTTTTCGATTAAAGATTGGTTCACTCCGATTCAGTCAAATTGTTCACAATAAAGGTCTGCATTAACAGTTTTTCCAGGTTTCAGCAATTCAAAATGAACAATTCCGCGAATACTCCATCAAACACCCAGAAGCGCCTTTTCGGGATGTAAACCCTTTGTAACCCCTATTAAAACTGCCTTTTGAGTTTTGGATTATCCTATAGGTCATATTTTTTTGTCCCCACTAATCAAACGATCAAAAAACGGTTCTGTATGGTGCCGTTGAAGCAATACGTTGCATGAGATGGATAGGTTGGCTTTCTTCTTTCCGGACAGATTATGGGGGACTTAAACACCTGCTTTGCTTATTTTTCCATTCTGCTTTAAATGTTCTTGGATGGTCGACCAAGGTTGGTTAAGAGGTTACGTGGCCAGAGCGGACAGTGGTTACAGCGGACACTGCGAAACTCATCGTGGTCAGAGCGGACACATTATTTTCCCCATCATGGAACAGATAAAGGGTGCAGATAAATAAGTAAATAAATACTTTTAAAAATCACAAATATAGTTTGAAACAGTATTTTAAGTGGCAAATCTCTTTCGCGTGGGATAACGTTTTTTTCACCGAAGTTTTCTGTTTTTGCACTCGATTATCGAATTACAAGGATAAATACATTTTTGCCAATCAAATTTAATTATTTATATTAAATTGTTAAGATATTTAGTGCAAATGCATTTTAAACATAGCAAAATGTAATAAAAATTAAAAACTTTCAGAGAAATATTTAAAAATTAATAGTAAGTACAATAGAATGAAGGGTATGAACGAATTCCAGGGATTTGTGGGAAAACTGTATTTTAGAGTCAAATAAATATTAGAACAGATGCAACTGCCATAAAATTAATTAGTTTCATTAATGTAAGTAAAAATAATACTAAAAGTAAAATATATAAACAGATACAAGTAAATAAAAGAAAAAATAAATACAAGTAAATAAATACTAATTAACCTTTATTATAAAGGCATAAATATCATTTACCATTGGATTTAGTCCAATCTAGTTACAAAACTTAAAGATTTCAGACATTTTTATAAATTGTTTGATGTTTCGAATTCCTTAAGGATGTTTTCAATTCTTTCATCCAATTTTACGTATGCTTTTTTCCTTTTTATTCCAGGGTTGCCTAATTCTCTGGATTTCAAATTAAAAGACACTTTTTATGTTCCTTCTTTTAGTATTCTGACTAATAAGTGGACATTAGGCTGGTTTCTGCCAGTGATTGCATTTAATTTGGAATTCCACCCTTCAACAGAATTATTTGTCCTATGACGCTGTCCATATACGTTCCACACTTTAATGGGCATATTTGGATTGTCCATCCACTGCTCGACAAAATAATCAATGAATGTGGTAAGTTTGTCAATGCTAAAAGCTTTTTCCCATACAATGCTCCAAGCATCATCTATGTGTTCCATTGGCAAGTAAGCTAATGCAGAAATCATTCTACAAACATTTTTTATATCTTCGTTCTCTTTATATTCCTTTACTAGACCCACTTCTTGTATCTTACGCCACAAGCATTGATTAAAATGAAAGTTACAACCAGAAATAGTCGAACTGGGAAATTCTAACATACAACTAGTGATGGCTGCGGCTTCAAAATCCAATTTTATAATGTCCGGCTTCCACTTAGGGCACCAACGTTTCACTTCCTGAAGCATTGCAATGTAAGTTGCTTGTCTCTTATCAGGCAGAAATGCAAAAAGCGCTGGGTAAACGTTGGTCTCAGTTGCTGTTTTCCTTAAATCGACGTGTATTGTATTTATTTGAGCAAATTGTTTCGGACAACTTTTAAATGTTCCATCTAAGAAAAAAGTCTTTCCATTTTCCAAAAGTTACAGAGATTCTTCTCCTCCAAATACTAAAATCCTGTTACCTTGGTCATTTTGAAAGTCTAAGCGAAGAAAGTTTTCTCCATTAGAAAGCAAAAGTGTATCGTTTGCAGACTGAATGTCATTGGCATTTTGGGGATTTTGAGTAGCTCCCAAAGCCTTTCTCCTCTCCTTACATATAGCAGTTTTGGCATTGGAGTATGTCGGTATTTTAGCAACGAAATCATAACCTTTCTGATATAATTCTGAAAGTTCTTCTTGAAATATCTGGGGAACGGGAACTGATGTTTCTTCTCGGACTCTTTTTCTGTAAGTCTCTAACTTCCTTTTAACTTCGATCTCAGCAACGTTGGGCGGGCAGGAATGTTCAGTTTCTTCAGTACTTCGTACTGAAATTTGTCTTCAACATTTCCTTTACAATGAGGTGTCTTTTCTTTTACACATACCCAACTCATTCCTAATTTATTTTTCGGTGTAAACGGTGTGTGGGTAATCATCTACAACTAAACATTCTTTTCCTTTTTTTGTAGAGAGTAATTTTGTTGAAATGACTATGGGTTCCATCACAGATTTTTTCGACGATATAAAACGACATACACACTTCAGGATCGAACATCTACTGAGAAAATGAGAAAGGCCTTCTCTCTCAAAAGTATCGGCTTATCTCTACAGCAGGTGCAAAGCTCGAAACTACACAATAGATCACATTTGACTGATTAGGGAAATAACACAACAGGTGCAAGAATGTCCGCTCTGCCCACCCAGCTCCCCTCACGTGTCCGCTGTAACCACTGTCCGTTCTGACCACGTCCGCTCTAGCCACACCACCGGTTAAGAGTGTTTGACATGGATTTGCTTCCACTTCTGCCCTTAGCATGTTGTTGTCGACATGCGCAGAAACGACATTACTTTCCGGTCCCCCTATTACAAACAAATATAATATACCAGAAGTATTATAAATATAATATAGCAGAATAACGACTCTGAAAAGCAGTAACACCCCAAGAAGCACGGAAAAAAGCTTTTAAAGTATAATTTATCAAAGATCTCAGACTTTCGAAGTGTGGAATATTTGAAGACAAATATTGTTCATCGTTTCATGGGAGTGAAAAAAACATGTTTTTCGTATTTTCAAACCACCAAAAGTCGCTATATTTTGTTGTCAAGCTTTCCAGCGCAAGATTTTTAAGATGATATATTTTTTTTATTCCTTTCGTCTCAATTGAGATTTACGATTTTTCCGAATGTTTTCGTTTGAAAAGGTTTTCTTCCCCCTTTCTTTTCTTTCTTTTTCCCCCTCAATTTATATACTAAAAATTCCTTCGCGTCCCTTTCCAGCGCATTTTTTGTGGATTCACCAAATCTCATCAAAAGCAATACTTTATGCAAAACAGTCATTTCCAGTTAATCGAATATAAGACAAAACAGTCTTAATCATAAACTTAGCGTTGTTATTCAATTCGCATCTCCCATCCTGCCTTCATAATCTTCTGATGCAGCTGCTATCATTTAACCCAAACACGAACAAAATGGCGAACGCGCCCTCATACTAAATTTGGAAATGAGAGCCCTAGGATAATTTTCAGTAGTTATGATGAATAACTTAAAGTACCTGAACGTACGTTTTTTCAGGCGAGCTAGTATACAGTAAAAGTCGAATAATCCGGTTCATTTGGGATTTTAGTTATTCTGGATTGTCAAATATGGCGGATAATCTGGATAAAATTGCCGAAAAGTAACGGCCACCACATTTAATTCTCAGAACTGGAAGACTTTAATTCTTATTCTGAAATGAGATAATTTCAAGTGTCGTCAAAGGCTTTTGAGGCAACCGCATTAACGAAGAAATATTAACGATTACCAACACGTTATTGGATATAGTTATTTAGTCCATTAAAACATCCAAGATTATAATAATAAATGGAGTAAGCCTCTCCCGTATGTCCTGTGCAATGATAATGAAGCCATGAAACGTTACAGTATGGTGTCCATGGACCTTGTAAGAGTGAACTATTCTGAAAGCGCATTAACTTAGAAGAAACAAATGAATAATTGGTGAGTACGGATAACTGCTATGTATATAATTTAGACAGGCACAAAATTGTGTAATTATTAGTAAGCAGGGTCCTAGAAATACGAAAATGGCTTGTGGCACAGGTAGTTTCCTTGTAATATTCCACAGTTTATTTACACGTCAATGCGTTCCCAGTAATTCATGTTTCATCTCTTAAATAAACAGTACGGAAGATGAAAAAACTGACTTTTACTGAAGCTTCATGAAAAATAAGATATTTCTCTAGTATCTCTTAAAGGTACTGCAATGTACAACCTCCTTTAACAGAAAAAAAATTGCGCATATTTAGTTTGAAAATGAAGAAATATCGATAGCAAAATGATATTCGAAGCTACTCGCTGAAATTAGCCAACACTTGGCAACAAAAGCACTGCTAGCCTCTTTTCGTTAGAATAAAGAAGAAACGAGCAAAAATTGTTTGATTTCTCACGCCTCTTTGTTCTATTGCTTATTCACTAGCTGTATTAAGGCTTACAAGTGGCAGAGTGGATAAGATCGCCCATCAGTGTTATTTTAGAGGTATTCGTACTTCCAGTAGGCAGCCAAATGGACTGGTTGCTGTGGCGTTTTCGTAATATCCTCATCTGTAATGTGAATATGAGCAAATTTTCCTTCAAAACATTCACTAAAGCATGCCTTTTGTGCAGACAGTCCCTTCAATGTTTTGCTTTAATTAAAATCAACCATCTATCCATTAATTATATTGTCCTACACCATTCTTGAGGAAAGGAAAACATGTCATGTTCCGTTATTTATTACGACTAAACATTTAAGAATTATTTGAATTAGATGGGATGGTTTCTTTGAGGACTTTGACAGCAAATCGGCCTTGTGTTCACACAGAGGAAAAGGTAAAACATACAGTCAGGTCCTTGAGTTGCCGGGAACACAATCTGAGACAAATTACCGGTGTTCAGAGAACTTAACTGGAAACCAGTAATAAAAAGGACCTAATAGACAATTATAAAAGTAAAAAAATTTCAAATTCAGAAATTGCTCCCATTGATTATAGAAAGCTAAAACAAAATTTTGGGAAAGGCTAATTACGGCAATTGCTAATTATATTATAATTTACCAGTTTTCGGCTACAACTGCCTTTCATTTGCCAAATTGTGCAGATTCAATCCAACGTTCCTAGCTTCTCTGGAGCCACTCAAAACTGACTGATGTCAATGTGCGAAAATAATGAAAAAAACGAATTATTGTTGCTTGCCTACGGGTTCGTAATAGATTAAATGCATACAGGTCCGATGATGGGTTAATAGAATTTATTTTATTAAAAGAAACACTTCAGATTTCTGGAACTTTCCATAAAAATACTAGTATAGCTCTTCCCAGTATCACAGAGCGCACTCAGTAGTTACACTTTAAACTACTATAGAAACATTAACAAAACAGAATAAAAAGCGCATCTAAAAGGTGAAGCTCTCCAAAGTTGCTCCGAACTAAAAACTATCAATTACAGCAACTGAGAGTAGATGCGCTCTCCGTTCCAATCTAATTTTCATCCGGCCACGGAGATGTATTTAGTATTTTCTGCATCTCGAAATTACTGCAAGGAGTATGACGGCCAGATATGGCTACAGCTAAATATAGTGACCAATTACATTTATTCAGTCACAATAGCTATTACGGAGATACAGGGACTGAACCAAAATGTCGCCAATTGTTTGTAAATCGTGGCGACTTTCGGTAATTTCTCTCCAAAGTTGGCGATAGTCGCCAAAACCGTTTCCAGCTTCGCCAGTTTAGCGAGATAGCCATTTGCTAATGTTAAGTACACTTGCCTCTGTATTCTTAACTTTCCGGCTGAGCATCTTTCCTCTAGATTTTCATGCTGCATTATACAGAAAAATACAACAATTTCACATAAAATTTCACTAAAATTATCTGCATATGTACAAAATCCATAACATTACGTACCTGTATAAATTGAAAATCGTTCTGTTTAGATTATGCGCAAATTTCATACAAAATTAATCGCGTATAAAAACAGTTAATTTTGTGTTAACACAGGACATAAAGCTACAGCAATGCAAAACAAGATACAAAGAAATAATTACGCTCTTTTATCAATAAATTATTGCTTGTATAATAAAGAAATTTGCGACCAGAAGAATTGTAATCTTAACGTATGCTAAAGCACATGGGATTTCCGGGGGGGTCAGAACTGCAATACTGTTTATGCGTATAATAGATGTTCAAACTACAAAATAGAGTCATGAAAAATAACCTGAACAGACCGTGCTGGTTTCGAGTACTTGTGACGTAAGAATGACTTTCTCTAACTCCACTAACTGTTTGAGACAATCCCAGAGAGTGAAATTTGAGGCTGTAGTAGCTTTCTTTCCTTACTACCAATATTAGCCTCTCGAAAGAACATAAAACTGATAGATTTCTAGTGTCTTCGTTCTGCGAAACTAGTACCATCGTACTTAACCGGAATAGAAACACGTACCCGATGACATGGCATTCCATCTTCACTTACCATCCTGTCAGTTCAAAACTGAAATATCGATATATATATATTCATTTCCTTAAACTTTTCTGCATTTAAGTCCTGCAATGACAACGTCGACTTGGAATTCTAATTTGAAGCTCACTGCTAATCACACGCATCCAAGATTTCTCTCGAAGCGTGTGTTATGTAATCACAGCTCGTATATCAATGCAAACACACATCCAGCTCAAGTAATTATTCAGCGCGAATCAACCACAGCGAGGAGGTGACAAACTAATTAAACTCGTTCTCATGCGCATGGATTCCATTTAATCTCGAAGTTGTGTTATTCTATTCGAAACTGAAAATTTTCTCAAATCCTGTTTCACTATGTACGATTTTTAAATTATTTTTATTTCCATTATTTAGAAAAACAGGAAACTGCTCACGAGAATTTCTTTTTCCTTCATGGGGAAGACAAATTTATTTTCTCTTTTTATTTATTTATTTATTTATCTTCTATTTTAAGAAATGAGATTTTTGAAGTTTTGTATGTAAATTGAGGATCAGACTGCTTAGGCTATGGCAAAGAACACTCAGAAAAGAGATGCCTTGGTGCAGATTTTTTTTTTTTTTTAAGAGAAACTACCTCGTGTTCACGTACTAGTGTTCTCAGACATTGACGGGCACTTTAACTTCATAAACTTAGCCTGAGAGAAAAAAACATCTGTATATTCATTAAAAAAATCTGATCTGTACACCACATGACTTCCTCGTACGGAATATTAAATTATACGCATTTTTTCTTGCATTTCATTTAAACTTATTGGATTGAATTAAACCTAC